CAAAAAAGGGCGCACTAAAAACTCAAATAATGCACTTTTTTTTTTTTTTTTTTTTGCATTGCTAAGGGATCAAACCCAGGGCCTCACACATACTAGCTCTGTACCACTGAGATACATTCCCAGCCCTTTCATGCAGTTCTTCAAAATCTAAATGCCAAAGTATCTATGAACAAAATATCCAAGATTAAAAACAAAAAAAAAGTCTCATCTTTCAGAATCAACCCCTCTGTTCTGCCCACTGCCTCAGTGAAACCCACAGAGATCACTCTGGGTCTCCTCCACTGAGTCCCCAGCACTGATCGAACCTTAACTTTTGTTTTGATTGTGTGTGTGCCTTAGCTTTTGTGAATGAATACCTAATGGTTTGGTTTTGAGGTGTGACGCCATCTGCTGGAGCCACAGAAGCTTTCCAGGTTACCATTTTCCATAGCCCAGAACCTCTTCAAATTTAATCTACACTGTGCACTTGCCTGGCTGTTCTTATGCCCGGTATTCTTCACTGTTAACACGAGATGACAGTCTGCATGTGGCAGAGGAGTGACCTTCCATTTAACTCACTAAACAATGACTTCAGCTTTTTTTTTCTTTTTTGAGACTGGGGTTTAAACTTAGGGTTTCAGACTTGTGAAGCAGGCATTCAATCTCTGAGGCACACCTCCAGTCCATTTTGCGCTGATTATTTTGGAGACAGGGTCTCATGAACTATTTGCTGGGGCTGGCCTTCGAACTGTGATCCTCCCAATCTCAGCCTCTCAAGTAGCTAGGATTGTAGATGTGAGCCACCAGCGCCAGGCTTGACTCCAGCTTTGTGTTAGTAAAAATCGAGTTGCAGAAGGCAGTCTTTGTTTACAAGCAACCTAAGTGAGTGGAAAAGAGACAAACTTTCAGAGACACAGGTTCACAGGTGACAGTGTCACCAACTTTATTACAGGCAAATGGGAATTGGTCTTCAACTAGACCCCAAAGGACAGATTAGGGGGAGGTAGGCAGGGGTGGGGTAAGAAGGGTGGGTACATTTTAAGGACAGAGAAAAGTGAAGCAAAAGAGAGGACAGCTGGATGCTGGTGGCTCACACCTGTAATCCTAGCTACTTGGGAGGCAGCAATGAGGAGGATCAAGGCTCATAGCCAGCCCAGGCAAATAGTTCACGAGCCCCAACACAAAACAGGGCTGGTGGAATGGCTCAAGTAGAGTGCCTGCCTAGCAAGCATGAGACCCTGAGTTCAAACCCCAGTACCACCAAAAAAAAAAAAGAAAACAGATTTTGTGCAATTGCTGCAAAGGAGGCCCCCAAGCTCCTTCCAGCTGGGGTTACCTGTACTGCTAGACAGGGAGCAATACAGTTCCCTTCTCACCACCACAGGCCTACTATTGGTTAATGGTGGTTATCTCATCTCAATACAAATAACTTTCAAAGGTCTAAAACATAGTCTCCTTCATGAGAATAGAGATATTACTTACTGGACACATACTTTGACAATGACTGCAAATTAGTTGTGTCTTCCTCCTCCTCAGTTGGCCTCTCCCAGGGCCATGTGCATTCTAGGACTGGTCTGATCTCAAATGAAGAGTCTCAAGGGGCTGGAGGTGTGTCTCAAGCAGCAGAGGACCTGCATGAAGTCCTGAGTTCAAACCCCATCCCACCAAAAAACAAAAGACAGAGAGAACCTGGGTTCTCCCACTAAAGGGAATTTCAAACTCAGGACAGCAGCTGGAGAGAGATTATATTGGATGTAAGGGCCTTCCAGTGGAAGAGCTTGGCCTCGAGAATCTTTATCTACAGATAACAAACTTGGCTGGGTGAGGTGCAGTCACACTAACAGCTGTACATTTACCATGCTTCCTGTGCAAATCTTGGCTTAGGGCCCCACTCTCCTCCCCCAGCAAACAGTTACCACCACCAAGAAGGGTCTCTAACTCCACATACAGTAAAAGGTGCCACCGTTCCTGAAAGCCATACTACTAGAAGGGGCACCCTGTTGCCAGGTCCTCTTCTGAACACAGCTACGGAGTGCCCCAGTCTGGCCAGGCCTCTTCTGGGTCCCAGCCTGAAGAGGCCTGGAGACTTTGTGGTGGAAGACAGTGTCCTGCCCCAGGGACAGAAGACCTGACTAAACACCACCAGGGCCCTTGTGAGAGCCTGGGACTGGAGGGTTAGGACACAGTTCTGCTCTCCAACTTGTTACTCACTTTGTGAGCTGAGCCAAACACCTCTCTGAGCCTCAGTTTCCTCCGTGAGGTTTTATGCCCTCAGTTATCTGGAAGGGCCCCCCCAGCTCGTCATATTCTCTTTCAAGTGTATGGTTTGGAGAGGGGATGAGTGGCAAGCCGCATACACAAGACTGGAGGCCAGAGTAGAGAGCAGGAAGGAGCAACTTGTTTCTAAAGCCTTACTTCCTAACACTCCCCACAGTCGACCGAAAGCCCCTCTAGCACCAGCCTTTTCTCTTCTCCAGAAAAAGCAGTTCAGAGTCGTCCTGCCTGAGCCTCTGCACCAGTCCCTTCCCTTGGGCACGGACCCCACCCCGCCCCCATCGCAGGAAGAACAGGGCGGAACTTCCTGGCTTGGGAAGCCTGGGCAAGCAGTCCTCGCAGGCCCAGCCTCTGAGAACTCTATCTCATAGCTTGGCCTCGCGTGCTGCTCACCCTTGCTCCCCAGCCTGGAGGGACTGCGCCTCCCTTGCTGCTCTGTCTCCTTCCACCCTGCTGACAGTCCTGCCAGCTGCACCTCTCCCACCCTCAGCTGTCACCTCTGCAGGAACCAGCACCTGACTCTCCCCCGGGCTCAGCTTCCCACGCCTGTCTCTAATACCAGATGTTTATTTTCTCACATTCTTCAAGGTCAGGGTCACCAGCCTCCCTGCTCTCCAAAGCTGGGACACGTTGTCGTTCCCCCTCCTCCCTCCTCCGGTGAAGGTGTTCCCCAGTCCATGCCCACCTTCCTGGATACTCCTGTCATGCACAGACCTTAATCCAGTCACAGCCTAGGTGGCGTCTGGGCTCTCTGTTCCTTGACTTTATCTCCAGAGACAGTTCCTCCTCTCCATTTCTGTCACACCCTCCCACACGCAGCACTTTCCTGGCACTAGGAATCCAGACCTGGTGCTGTATCCTACTCCCCTGACCTACTGCCACCCTCACCACCTGCATGGCTTCTTCAGCAGAGCCTCCAGCCCATTCACCTTTCCACTTTCTCCCATTCTTCAGCTCCGCTGGCTTCGTGTCTCCCTGGTCATCATGGATCAAATGCTCCATCATTTCAACCACTCATCCTCAACAACTCCAATTTGGGCTGCTGGAGTGACTCAAGTGGTAAAAGTGCCCGCCTAGCAAATGTGAGACCCTGAGTTCAAACCCCAGTGCCGCCGAAAAAAAATTTAAAAATCAAGAAGAACAACTCCAGTTGCATTAGTCTTCCTGTGAACTTCACCTCTGCATGAATCCAACGCCCTTTTCCTGAGCAGATCTCACACCAGACAAAAACAGCCCAGAAGACTGGGGCTTACAGATCAAAGGCCACCCACCTTAGTACTCCCAAGCCCTGTCCTTGTCCCATGGTGCCCACCATTAGGATGCACAGATCACCCCAACCTTAGTCCTTCCCTTCCCTCCACCTCCTTGGGACCCAGAAACACATTTCCTGCTCTCTTTCTCCTCTGTGGACAGCCTCTTCCTCAACCAGAAACTTCAAACAGCACTTAAACTCAAGTCTCTCCAATTTGCAAAATAAAGACACTGAGTACATCTCTGGGCCCTTCATGTGCACATGCCACACGTCCTGCCTCCATTTCCCCTTCCTTACTCCTTGCTCTGCAGCCATCTGGTTCCTGGCTCCAGACTGCTCTCAGCAGGGCCACAGGTGGGCGCTACACAGTGCTGCCCCGACAAGGCTGACCCCCCCTCCTCCCTGTGACATCCTCCTCCTCCTGCCATGACCTCTGAGGTCGGGGCTCCTCTAGGATCAACACTAATCAAATGCTGGTGTCTCACAAATCTAGTGAACAGGTTCACCCAACTGCCCCTGGCCGGCTCCACCCGGAAGCTGCCGGATCTCGGTGTCTTTTTCTTGAGGTGCTGGTAATCGAACCCAGACCCTTGCACATGCCAGAAAAAAGTGCTCTATCACTAAGCTACATCCCCAGCCCTTAGACTGCTCAGTGTCAACAAGCCAAACTGAATTACTTTCCCATGGACGCACTTCCGATGTCCCCTCTCCTCAGCGAACGGCAGCCCCATCCATCTTGTCCCTCGCCTACGTACACCAAGATTTGCTCAATAAGAAATGAACCCTCAATCCTCCCTCATTCTCCACAACCACCATCACCAAGTCCTGTCCGTTCTACCTCCTACCACATCCCCCGGTCGGTCGCCTTTGCTTCTTTCTTATTTGAGGCTGGCTACATCCTTCGCCAGGCTTCCCGTGTCCTCAACGAGACCTTGGGAGCCGGGTGCCGGTGCCTCACGCCTGAGGATCGCGATTGGAAGCCTTCCCAGGCAAATAGTTCCGCGAGCCCCTATCTCGAAAAACCCTTCGCAAAAATAGGGCTGGTGGAGTGACTCAAGGTGAAGGTCCTAAGTTCAAGCCCCAGTACCGCAAAAAAAAAAAAAAAAAAAAAATAGGACCTTGGGGACAACGTGCATCACACGTCCCGCCTGCCCCTACTTCGTCAGCCCAGGCACTGCCGGCGGGAGCCCCAGCTCCCTACGTCCACAGCGCAGCTCACAGGCGGTGGTGGCAAATCCTACAGAACCGACGGAGAAAGGGACCACTGCAGGCAGCTGCGAGCTCTCCGCAGCCGGTACCCCTGCCGCCACGCGCCTGCCAACTTCCTCAGCCAAGAGCCCCGCCCCCTGCTCACGCGGCGCTCCCAGCAGCCAATGGCAACATTGTGCGGGGCACCTTGGCTCAAACTATACTCGGAGGAGCCAATGATCGCGCCATGAGGGGAGCCCGCCCCCTGCCCGTGCGCCTCTTCTGCTTCTCGGCAGCCAATGGGGATGGCCTGCGTAGATCCTCAAGGGGACTGAGCGCCACCTCAGTGTGTGGGCACCGCGTGCAGGAGCGAGTCTTCTTTCCACGTCGCGCTGCTGGTTTACCTGGCCTCGCTCCTCCCCGGCCCAGCCGACGGATGATGGGGGCTGTGGTCGGTCGACGCTGCCTGGAGTGGCTTCTGGGCCTCTACTTCCTCTCGCACATCCCCATCACCTTGTTCATGGACCTGCAGCTACTACTGCCGCCTGAACTCTACCCGGTCGAGGTGAGGGGTCGCCCGGTCGGTCGCGGGGTCCGAGGATCATCGGCTCGCTGCGGTGGTGTGCTGGCGTCCCAAACGCCACACCCTTCCACCTCCACACCGGCCGCCCTGGGCCTTTCCCTCGCTCCCCTTGCTTGGGTCCTACTGGTACCCCGGCCCGCGCCGTTCCTAACCCCAGCTCTACGTTTTTCAACTGCCCTGGTTCCCGTGCCGCGGGGATACATGCTTTGTTCTGTTGGAGTTGTTTCTTCCCCGGGATCTGTTTAAGGCCCCCACTCTGGGCAGGTGTCCGTGTTTGAGGGAAGTAACTTCGGTGAATCCGTGTTGATCGTGGTAAGGTACTGCCGAATTAAGACCACGCCACGTGTGGAAAGGAAAGATTTATTAGAAATCCAGGCCGCAGGGCTGTCACTCTCGGGTTCAGAGTGAGGCGGCTTGGCTGAATTGGGTAGTGGGCTTTATAGGAGGGGCCAAGCCATGGGGGAGGGAGAGAGTCTGTGGATTATCTGCGATCACCAGATGGAACAGGTCAAGGTTCCTGGCTAGTTGAGTAACTGGAAGTTCCTGAGTTGTTTTGCAAGCCGAGAAACAATCAGGCAGGGAGAAACAAGCGGTCATAAATCAGGGGGGTCTGGTTTTAAGGTTGTAGCCTCGGGTCCTTCCGCCCGCCCCAAGAATGCCAGGGACCTAACAATCATCAGCATTGGGTTTGTTTTAAAGTTGTGGGTTTTTGGAAGTGCTTTAATTAAAATACCAGTCTAACCCTAAAGAAGAAGATCCGAGTAGAATTAGACCTGTGTAAAGGTTTAGCGCTTGGTGTCCATAGGTCATCACTCCTTCAGGATTGGTGTCCAGCAGCTTAAAAAGCTCAGGAGTGAGTTAATGACACCTTTTCTAATTGGCCTTTTTGTGTCGGAGTAAAAATGATCACCTGAGTAAAAATACAGGTGAAATGCCCCATTTTCTGGCTGTTGGAGAGCATTCTTTGTCCCAAGCTTGCTTGCTTGCTTTTTTTAATATTAAGAACTACAGTTCTAGTTTCCTGGGTTATCTGTTGTTTGTTTGTTTGTGACAGGGTCTTGCTTGCTATGTGACACAGACTGACCTGGAAGTTAGTAGCCCAGGCTGGCCTGGAACACTGTATCCTCCTGGCTTGGCCTCCTGAGTACTGGGATTGTAGGGGTGCACCTCCAAACTCAGATCTCCATGGAATTCCTTTCTTCAGTTCTGTTCTTCTCCAACCTTTGCCCAACTGTGGGCAAGGCTGGCTTGTCTACCCAAAAGATTTGATTTTTGCCTCTGTTAAATATTCCTAAATGCTTTTTTCTTTGCAGAGCAGTTCTTAATCTTAAATCCATACCTCCAACGGCTTGTGCCAAATTGCATTGTGCATTGTGTTTCCTGGGAGGAGTGCCTACACCTACATTAGCTTTTACAGGGGTCTTACCCTCCCCCCGAAAGGTTAAGAACCGCTGCTCCACATGTCCCCACACCCTTAAGTTTTTTTTTTTTTTTTTTTTTTTTTGCGGTGCTGGGGTTTGAACTCAGGGCCTACACCTTGAGCCACTCCACCAGCCCTTTTTTGTGTGTGATGGATTTTTTCAAGATAAAGTCTCAGGAACTATTTGCCCAGGCAAACAGCTCCTGAGTAGCTAGGATTACTGGCATGAGTCACCAGCATCCAGCTTAAGTCTCTCTTTTGTTTGCTTCTAGAACCAAGCATAACTGAAAAGATCTCTGGCCTACCTTTCCCATGAAACTGTTACCTAGGAACTTAGTTCTTCAAGAACTGGCAGCTGCCAGCGGTTCCCACCTGTAATCCTAGCTACTAGGGAGGCAGATCAGGAGGACCGAGGCCAGCCTGGGCCAAGAGTTCTCTAGATCCCATCTCAAGCAATATTCTGGGCAGGGTGGCGTGCCTGCTATCCCAACTACATGGGAGGCTGAAAGGAGGAGGATCACAGTCTAAAGACAAAAACACAAGACCCTACCTGAAAAATGACTAAAGTGAAAAACAGCTGGGGCATGGCTCAAGTGGTAGAGCTGCCTAGCAAGCTCAAGCCCCTGAGTTCATACCCTACTTCTGCCCACGTGCCCCCCCCAAAAAAAAAAAAATGAAGTGGCAGTGTCGGCAAGTCAAGGGTCTATAGCCTCAACTTTGGTTAAATTATAAGTTCAAACATACCCAAGTTGTAGGATTGGGGGTGTAGGTCAGTGGTAGAACACCTGCCTAATATACATGAGGCCCTGGGTTCAATTCCCCAAAGCCACAAAAAAAGTTGTGTATGAGTGTGTAGTTGTTTCCTGTTACTGCTCTAACAAATTATCACAAAGATAATGATTTAATCCAGAGGTCAATTTCAAAATGAATCCTATGGGGTGTTAGCAGGCTGGTTCCTTCCCAAGAGTCTAAGGGAGAATCTGTTCCTTGCCTCTTCCAGTTTCTGGTGGCTGCCAATGTCCCCTGACTTGTCACACCACTTGAATCTCCAGGTCATCACATTGCTGCCTTTTCTGTAGCTAAATCCTTTTTTTCCTCCTTTTATAAGGTCAGCTAACTCAGAAAAATCTTCCCGGTTTCTGGACCCTTAGTCACATTTGCAGTTCTTCTCACCAAATAAAGTAACAATCACAGGTTCCAAGGATTAGGACACAGATATCTTTGGGGATCATTATCCCACTAGCCATACAGGGCCACGCAGTACATACTCTTTCTAGAAGTTGCCACATCACTGCACTAACCATTAGTTGCCCTGAAGAAAGCAGAGCCTACTGTTGCCATGTCTGGTTTTTGAAGTGTATATGGCCAAAAGAAAAAGAAAAAACCTCAGGCCTGTTTACAAACCTCTGATGTTATGGGTCCCTTTAATACTTGGTAAATAGCACGTTATCCCATGTAGCCATTCCAGATTTAACAGCTATTGGTTTGAACTCAGGGCCTTGCACTTGCTAGCTAGGTGTCTACCACTTGAGCCACACCGCTATCCCTTTTTGCGTTACGTATTTTGTGAATTGTGTCTCATTACCCAGGGGAGGCCTGGGCTGAGATCTGTGTATTCTAACTGCCTTCTGGGGTGACAGGCACCAATCACCATGCCTGGCTCTTCTTGACTGAGCAAGAACCTTTTGTCTACATGGACCTCAAATCCCAATCCTCCCGATCTCCATCTCCCAAGTAGCTAGGATTACAGGTGTGAGCCATCTCACCCAGTCTATCCTTTCTGACTGCCATTCCCCCTTCTTGCTCACTCACAAAACACAGTTAAAACCTGCCTGGCATCATAGACACCCTATTTGCACATGATATATTTGACTTGGTAAAATTTTCTCAGCTTTGGGGCTAAGGGTGTAGCTCAGTGGTAGTGTTCCTAACATATGCAAGGGTCTAATCCTCAGTGGCCCCTCCAAAAAAAAAAAAATCTCAGCCCTTGTTGGAGGATGGGAGAAGTAATTGGATTTTCAAGCATTGGAATGAAAGGCCAAATAATAAAAAGCCTTTGCTTCTTAAAGTAAAGTTCATTTTGTTTGCAGAATTCACTTGTATGGTAGATTGTATGACAGCTTTATGACTGTTTATGCATGCTAGTGGTTACATCTGCTGTTTGTCTTTAAAATGGAAATATCAAAAAACTAAGCCCAGACCAGAGCCATGAATTGGTCTTTCCTAAAAATGCACCAGGTGTGCTACCAGATTATTTTATTTAGTTTCCACTTTTTTTTTTCGATTGGCATTTAAACATCAGTATTTAAATAGAAGACCTTGTTGTGTTTTATTAACTTTACAAAGTTGGAAGAGACTAGTCTGCACATCATGACCTCACCAGTGTTGATGCTATAAGTGAAAGTTCACTGTCATTTGTATGCTGAATTCATTGGTGTTTTTGAACTTGATGCTCCCCTACCAGCTTTAGTCCAAGGGCTGTGGCTCTCCCCAGAGGCAGTATGCAGTTTTGTGGAACTTTGCTGTCTAGTGCTTGAGGGAAAAAGACACCTCTAATTATTGGCATCAGTAATAAACACAAGTCCAGCCAGACTGCTTTAAAAAAAAAAAATTCAGCTTTTGAACTCAGGGCTTTGCACTTGTTAAGCAGGCACTCTGCTTGAGCCGTGCCTCCAGCCCCAGCTTTTTTTTTTTTTTTTTTAAACGTAGTGGAAAAGGCCAAGGACCAGCGCAGGTAGGGCCTGCCTGAAATTCTGGTTGTGATGAAGGGCTGGTGGGGGGAGGATCACGCCTTGAAAGCCTGTGCCACTCTTCACTGTAGTTCCTCTTGGGTGGGGAGCGATGATTTTGTAGCTTCTCTATGAAGAAAATAATAAAAAGCCTTGGGTTAGTCCTGGGTCCTCTTTGGAAAGTGCCAAAATTTAACATCTGGTTTCCTCCCTAAATAGAAGAAATTTTTCCAGAGAACTAAAAGATAGGATGTGAGGTCAATGTAGTGATAGGGCTAAAATTTGTGAATTACGCTTTTCTTGGTTTGAGTCAAAATCACTTGGGAAAACTGTTATGAAACAGTAAAACAACTTAGCTTGGCTTAGAACGTGGCAAGGAGAAGACAGGAAAGCATTTTGTAGTATCATTTGCAGCTGGGTAAGTTGCTTCTATTAAAATAGGGAAGAACAGGGAGCACTTAGACATACCATCAATCTGTCCTCAACCTAAATGAGAGAAGTACAGGATTGCTCAGTAGCAACCCAAGTGAATCTTTTTTTTTTGTATTGGAATTTAAGTTTATTAACATATAATGGTTATTCCCGAGCCGGGTAAATCTGAATGGATAAGGTAACAGGGTGAGCTGAATCATATGTAGGGTGGGTATAAATGGAAATAATTTTAAAATCTTGGGTGGGATTAATAATAATTATTTATTAATTATTAATAATTAATAAATGACCAGTTGTAAGAGACTGTAATAGGATTAAACTTGAGTATCTTAAGATGTGCATTAATTCAGTTAAGTGATCCTTTTTTTTTTTTTTTTGCAGTACTATGACTTAAACTCAGGGCCTACACCTTGAGCCACTCCACCAGCCCTTTTTTGTGAAGGGTTTTTTCGAGTAGAGTCTCTGGAACCATTTGTCCTTGGACTTAGGTCAATCAAATGGACCAGAATGCCTTGTAAATTCTGCAGTAAATCTGTTAACCCAAATAGTTTCCTCTAGTGCTTTTTAAAATAAATCTAAAAGGAAAAAAATCATAAATCATTTAGTCCAGATGAGAACATAGAGCCCTGGAGAGGGGCAGAGGCTCAACCTTTACGATTGTTTCCTATTACCTTACTGTCCTAAAAGTGCTCAGGAGAAGCGAGGATAACGCCGTAATTCAGATTGGTAGAGCGCTTGCCTAGCTTGCATGAGGCCCTGGGTTCCACACTCAGCACAGGAAAAAATAAAACCAACAAATTGGAGATCATTTGGCCAATAAACTGTCCAGCCAGAACTTTTCCAAGATTACTATACTAACAGAAATATTTCTAAATATTTACTTAAAACTCCCTTGTGGCAACAAGCTTCTTATTTCACAATAGTGAGTTTATCCTTTCATTAAAAATTAACAAAGAAATAATATCCTTGGAGTTTCCATTATGAGATAAACTCTTAAAGGTGCCTTTATTCATATCATAACACCTGTTTGGCTTTAGAAGATGTGTGTATTGGGACAGTTCCACCTCCAGGAGTCCGGGAGGCTAAATTTGACAGACTTGATCTTGGGGCCTCCTAAACTTCAGGCTCCCATCCAGTGCAGAGAAGGCAGCTACAAAATCTCCTCCTTGCTTTGTCTGCAGCCACAGCAACGTGGGTCTGCATTATTTTATTTGATAGGGTAATTACAGGGATGGGAGCCAAGCTAGAACTGATCACCTACTCAGCCTCCCAGAACCTAGAAGTTATAAAGTTTGGGGCAATGTTTTTCCATAGTTATCCTACTGGTCTCATAAAAAAAAAAAAAAAATAGAACTAGGGAGTTGAGAATAATGAATTTATTTGAAGTGTTGGAGTTAAACTATCCAAACTTACATCTTCATAGAGATTAGACAATCTCACCTCCCAACAACCCCCCCAATTAAAAAAAAAGGAAGAAATCCAGTCTTATTTCTGCATTTGAGGGATTCTGGCCTTTGGGGTTGGGTGTACAGTTGTGAAAGGGAAAATGTCTGGATGGTCCTCACACTTGTCATTTCTTTACCAAAAATGTGCAGAAATGTCCCATTTGCTCATGTGGTAAACATCCTGAGAGCCTACTAGGTGCCAGGTATTTGTTGTTGCTTCTGACAGTGGGCAACACACCTGGATTTGTGTGGCCATGGATTTAGGAACAAATGCTGGGCAACACAAAGAAGGAACTGGAGAGTTAAGGAAAACTTCAGAGAAGACAACTTTTTTTTTTTTTTTTTGTGGAACTGGAATTTTGAGCTCAGGGTTTTGTGCTTACAAAGCTGGTGCTTCCAAAGAAGGCCTCTACTGTTTGAGCCACACCTCCAGTCCATTCTGCTGATTATTTTGAAGATTATTTTGCAATCTATTTGCCCAACTGAAATCCTCCCAATTTCCCCATCTCAGCCTCCCAAGTAGCTAGGATTACAGGCGTGAGCCACCAGCCCCTAGCTAGAAAGCAACATTTTAAAGTTACAGCTAGTGAGTTTTTATTAAATGACCATATAGGCTGTATCACAAAAGCCAGCTGGGTATGTCACCTGCTGCCGAGGGGGCTGGACAATGAGAGACTCCCAGGGTATCTTCAGATACACTGGAGCTGCTGAGCCTGTCAGGCCAGGTAGCTGTAATTCATCATGATCTTATCTTTTTTCAGTTTAGAAATCTGATAAATTGGTATTCTAAGGAGTTCAAAGACCCTCTGGTGCAGAATCCCCCGCTCTGGTTCCAGTCCTTCGTGTTTTGTGAGCTTGTGTTTCAGCTGCCTTTCTTCCCCATTGCAACATATGCCTTCTTCAAAGGTTGGTAAATGGTGGGAAATTTTGGGTTTTGCTCAGAAATCTTTTGGGAATGTATCTCCAAGGGAGAGGGAAGGAGCTCTTGTAGTTTGCATGAAGATGCCATAGGATCTGATGGAAGTAGCCAGAATAGATCTGGCGAAAGGACATTAATGTGGCTCAGTCTGGAAATTTCTCATACATATGAAACCTGAGGCCACTTCCCTTTTGTCCCCCACCCAACACACACACAAACACACATAATTTATTTTAACATTGGCTTTATTTTCCTTCCTTGCATGATATCAGACATACTTTAAAAGCAGAAGAATCAAGCTAAAGTTAACCCCTAAACTTCTTAAAAATTATTCCTTTGTGTTCTTATATAATTAGTGCATACCTCTATCCTTGGAAACCAAGCTCATAAAGCTGGAAATGCTTATTAATGCTTACTCCCACCGGAGTCTATAGTCACTGAATCCACTCACAACCTTTCACCTATATGATCCACACATCTAGATGTTGGGGTAGGAGTTCCCCTCACACTGCATTTTAAACCAAACTGGTAATGCAATTTTACTGATCTAAGGTTTTTCCAAGCTGTATTCTGACCTTCACCCTTGGTTCTTTGGCAGTCAGAAATCTGGAGTCCTAGCAGTCACATAAGTTTACAGGTTGGGCAGTATAATATACCCAGTTTTCCGTGTGTGGCTAGTTTCCACTGAGGGGAGGAGGTAGGGTGAGTCAGCTGAAGGGAGCAGGCAAGCACAGACAGTGTGGAAAATGTCACCCTTGGGGTCATGAGCAGACCTAACTTTTACTTCTGCCCTTTTACTTCAGGAAGCTGCAGGTGGATCCGCACCCCTTCAATCATCTATTCGGTTCATACCATGACAACTTTAATTCCGATTCTCTACACGCTTTTATTTGAGGATTTCCCCAAAGCCAATGGTTTCAAAGGACAAACACCTGAGACTCCCCGTGAACGACTAACCCTCGCATGTATTTATGCCCCCTACTTAATCATCCCTCTCATACTTCTACTTTTCATGTTGTGGAATCCCTACTACAAGTATGAGGAGAAAAGAAAGAAAAAATGAGGGCAACAACCACTGGCCCGGCTGGGGAGATGTCCACAGGGCAGTGTCCTTTTTGACCCAATACAAAAACGTGCTCTGAACCCATGTCTTCAGCAGCATTTGAAACACCAGCAGCAACACATAAGTGCAAGGTAGCAGCAAGAGCCACATCAAACCCTTATCTTCCAAGGGCACTGGGATGAGCAGACTAATGAGCATGTGTGAGGGCTGGGCTCTAGGAAAGTGATGCCCAGCACCTTCCCATGTGCCTAAGTTCTCTTGCAAGAACAGACCAGAAACTGGATAAACTACCACAAAAACATGGCCTGCTTGTCATGCTGATGAATCATTCGACCCAGAATGTACCCACACCACTGAACAATTGACTTGATTCTCTATGGCATATCACAGTCAGCAAACTGAATGATGGGATTTTTCAAGCCATTTTAAAATCAAATTAAGCCTCTTTAGATATTCATGAAAAACTCATGTTTTCTTGCCAGTGTCTACCCCTGGAGAAAAATACTATGCAAAAGAGGTTTGAACTTAAGTCTTCCTCCAAGGTAAACCTCCAAGGTTTAGCCCTAGCATAACTTTCAGTCATGGGAACGGTGTGGTTTTTTTGTTGTTTTTTGGGTTTTAGCTTAAACAGGTTATCCCAAGAGGGTTTCTTTTGGTGGTGGTACTAGTGAACTAAGTGATCGACCACCTGAGCCACACCTCCAGCAATTTTTTTTAATCACCTTATTTGTCTTATTTCCAAATTTTCATTTTTAGAGACCACTTGAGATAATTCCTTTTACTTTGAAGTCTGGCATCTCAAGCCTGACTTGTATGCGTGCTGCCTAATGGAGAATCTGATATTTCCTGATGCAGCCTAATCACTCCCATCTTGTTAGGGCAGGGGCGGTAGCGGGACTTGCCCATTGTCTCTTTGCTTTAGTATGTATTATCTCATGAGCTCCCTAATTACTTGAGGCCAACCCTTAAAAAAAAATCAGTACACCATAGGTCCTGGTCCTTTATTTGCTCACAAGTCATTGGTGATTGTTGGTACTGTCTGACTCATGTGTGTCCAAATAAAGGTAGCTGCTGACTATGCCTGGTTTGTTGTGTGGACTGGGGGCTAGAACATCTGTTAAAAAGGTAGATCAAGCCATTTGAAAACAATAATTTATTGCTTTTCCTTCCAAAGCTTTGTGAATTTACAAAAAAGTGAATCAAGGTTTACAGACTGCTTAGTTCATACTAAGATTCAAGAGGTGAGGCCCTGCCCTGCCCTGCCTTGCCACTGGCAGTGGCTGTGTGCTGACGTGTAGTACCAGTGCCCTCAAATGTGGCATTATTGCCTTCAGAGGACTGTGTTCCTGACACTCTGTCATGACATGCTTAGGTCATTAGACAAGTCACTGGAATGGCACAGAGGATTTTTGCTTTTGGGGGGCTTTTTTTCCTTCCTGCTATAAAAAATGAAATTTTCAGTTCACTTCTGAAAAATAAACTGGTCAATAAATTCATTCTGTTCTGCTTCTACTTTACACAGAGCTTCATATTCAACTCGGTACCTGAAAAACAAAATTATTAGAAGCCCTGAAAAGGACGGAATAAACCACAGACTTAATTCTAGAGGTTTACATAATCCAAGAAACGGTGAGTTCAGAATGAAGTTAGGGCAAGAAAGAAAGAAAAGAGGCAAAGCCTTGCCCAGGGCCACCCATGAGAAATCCCCAGCCCTAAGAAAGCCGTGTCCTTTCAGGAAGCCAGCCAGCCGTGGGCCTGCTACCTGTACTCTCATGCTCTCACTATTAGAGGTCATTTGATATTAAAAAAATCTTCAAGTCAGGATGACAAGTGAGATGCTATTCCTGGAAAAAGGATGAGGAATAAAGATGAAGGAATCAAGAAGGAAAAGCAGAACTCAAGTGCAATAAAGAACTTGCTCTGCATCATGGCCTCTTACCTTTCTAGCTGCATTTTCTTTTCTGCTATCAGTGCTTGAAGTTGCTGCTGTTGGGCTTCTCTCTGCTTTGCAATGGATTTGAGCAAGTTCCGAGCACCAATAGCCTAAGAAACAGCATTGCCAAAGAAAGGCATGGCTTCCTTAAGCCTGTCTATAGCAAAGTACTCAAATGGGGACGGGCCATATGGGAGCTGTCAAAGGAGCCCTATGTCTTTGGTGATAAGTCAGAGGATGATTAATCTACTGATCAAAGTGCTTGGTGAGAACTGCGTGAGGAGTGGAGGCAGGCCCCAGAGCGGGGCCTATAGGTATTCAGTGGCTCACTGGGTGGTGCCATTTTGCCTGTGTCCTACATCAAGCCATCTATATACCATACCAGCCTCATTTCTCCATTTATAAAAGGATATAACCACTTATCAGTGCTGACGTGAAGGTTAAACGGGGTAATGACAAAGTATACTGCCACAGAGGCTTAGTAAGTTAACTGGAACGGCAATTTTGTTAAAATCTTGTTTTAATTAAGGAATCCACCCATGCCCTCAACAAATCCAGAGAGGATAGAGACTGGGGTGCCTGGCCAAGAGAGACAAGACATGCTGATCTTACCTTCATCTTCTCATTTTCTGCTTCTTTTGCAAGTTGATCAACAAGCTCAATTAGACCACCAACTATTTTCTGAAACTGGCCAATTTCTTTCGGGGAAAGAACAAAATATGTTTATTTTCTCAGCATCAGCTCTCCCCCTCAGCACTGCCCTTTTGAAGCAGTGAGGAGGCAGAGCCTAGTGCCCCTTCTAATCTGCATCAAAACAGTTCCGTATCTAAACCCAGAGAAGGGGGCCTGGCGCTAAGACCTGAACCAGGCATACCTGGACCTTCAGTCACCATAGGCTATGAAGGCACAGGCTCCAGGTGGGTCCATCCTCCAGAAGGACCCTCATCCTGCCTCCCCAGGAGTTACAAAGCATTCGCAAAACAAGTGCTGCCTCTGAACTAGCCACAAATAGGACAATAGATTTTAGTCAACAGTGTGGGGGGTGGGAGCTTCTCACCCTATAACCAGAGTGAGCAAAGAGCTCACAGCTTAAGTGCCCCTCTCCCATTTGCTTAAATCAATGTCTTTGGTATAATGGACCCCCATTTTATTGGCCCAGAGAGGTACAGTACGCACATGGCAATCACAGACTGGCAATGGAACCCAAGCAACCTTTCACCAGTCACATTCTCCACAGCTCAAAGCCTCAGCAATCCTTCGCTCCAGCCAAATCTGCTTTGTCCACTGCGCTGGGCTTGCATGGCTGGTGGGACAGAAGGCTTCTAGGAGATCTCCAACCCAAACATGACTTCATTAGGTGTGCTGAGCAGCTTCTAGAGACTTCAGTTACTAACTACATCTAACTCCAAATAATGGAAAGCCCACCGTGGAGAATGCTGTTTCTACCAAGAAATCAAATCATCCCCAAGCCATCATTCTACCCATGCATTTTAAAGTTTTGAGAGCAAAAACAGATGGCATCTCTCGGGCTGGAGGTTTGGCTCAAGTAGTAGAGTGCCTGCTTAGCAAGTGCAAGTTCCTTAGTTCAAACACCAGTGCCACCAAAAAATAAATAAAAAACCATACTCTACTCCCCATCCCAATGTTTGGTGTGACTGGGACTCAGTGTGAGACTCCATGATAGCATGGGAAATCAGAAGCCAGGCTCAACCTCAGGAAGTCAGCAGCTCCGTCCTGGAAGGGCCAAGAGCTGCAGTATGGGGGACAGGGTGCAGGGTACAGTTAGAACTGCCCAAAATTGAATGGCTCCATGTCTCTCCAAATGATACTCACTGTCCACAAAGTCCTTGCACTCTTCCTTGAGCTCTATGGTCTGCTGGGTAACCTCTGGGTCCAACACCCGCAACTTGTTCAGCTCATCGAAGTGCAGCCCTGCTTCCCCCAGGATATCCTTGGCCATAGCTACAAAGAAACAGCCCCAATCCCCAGTCACCTTTCAGCCACCCAAGGAAATGCGCACTCCCACCCCCAAACACCAATGCCCAAATCTCTGATGTTCCAAAGGCTCCCCGTTCCCTGTCTCCACCTCTCAGCCTCACCTGTTTCCCTTCCAGGTTCCCTAGAGAAGTTCTGCTCTGAAGGGGTGACAGTGGCAGTCAGGAGGAGTTGTGTCATAGGAGCAAGGGTCAGGAAAGAATAAAGTCCAGTTGCTTGTCACAGGCATCGCTCATTCAACATACATTTCTTGAGTGCCTACTATATGCCAACACTACTAGTGCTGGGGATACAAAGATGAATGCAACATGGTGCCCGCCCTGCAGGAGCACATAGTTTAGCTGGAGGAAGACAGACAGGTAAGCTGAAAAGTTATACTGTGGTAAGTGCTTTTACAGAAATATCACCAAAGAACAGGAAGAGAACAGAACAGTTAACTTGAATAACATCTAGACTAAGTTGTAAGCCATAAGCTTACTTATATATCCCCCAATTAGGAACCCAGAAGGACACAAGGCTTTTCAAATACAGGCACTGGGAAACACAAAGCAAGTAAAAGAAAAAAAATCTGAGTGATTTAAAAATTAGGGCTAAAAAATAAGCCATGAGTAAGAACATTACCCAAAACTTATGCTACAAGATACTGCACAGTTGCCTGAATCACAAACCAAAGTTCAGCCAGTCCTAACACAAAACACAAAAAGGAATGAATGAAGTAGCTGGGGCACTGGTATCTCACACCTGTAATCCTAGCTACTCAGGAGGCAGACATCAAGAAGATTGCAGTCTGAGGCCAGCCCAGGTAAAATGAAAGTGAGAACCTATCACAAAAGGCTGGCAGAGTGGCTCAAGTGGTAGCACCTGCCTAGCAAGCGTGAGGCCCTGAGTTCAAACCCCAGTACCACAAAAAAAAAAGTAAAAACAAGAATGTACCAAGTACGAAGGCCAGGGAAAGACATTTCATGAAAGCAGCAAAAAGTTCAGTGAAAGGGCCTATCCTACCTAAAGGATGAAAGGAAAGACAATGGAGCTAGTGAAGTGGGCAAGATCAGGAACCCTGTGTGTAAAGCTAAGGAGTTTGGATATTTTCTCTAGGCAACAGAGAACCAACAAAGATTATCTTCTCCATCCGGAGGAGAAAGAAACTGAAAATTCACCCTCATTCAGGCTAAAAAGGGAGGCAAAGGAGCTAGTACAGTTCAGTGGTAGAGCACTTGCCTAGCAAGCAAGAGGCTCCGTATTTCATTTCCAGTACCAAAAAAACAAAACAAAACAATTAAGTCCCACTGTTCCTAGAACTTCTGATTTTCAAGAGGACAAGAAAAGTGACATACTGGTGTCTAATTCAAAATTTTAAAGGGAGGAAAATCATCCAACACTCTGTGATCTAACTAATGCACATCTATGGGCTGTCGGTGTATGACTCTGACCTGTTCTCTTGCTGGAATCCACTGAAGAGAGCTACTGTCTTTCTTTTCACCATTTTAATCATCCAAAGCTTTCTTATAGCCAGTCTCAGGTGGCTCACGCCTGTAATACTAGCTACTAGCTACTCAAAAGGCAGAGATCAGGAAGATTGAGGTTCAAAGCCAGCCCCTGAGTTCAAGCCCCAGAACCACCAAAAAACAAAATGAGAAAGCTGCAGTAATGAACTAGGATTTTGTAAAAGTAACGGGGAGCCAGTGGATTCTCAGCAGAATGATGGCTAACAGGTTTAGAAAGATCACTCTGGCTCAGCCTGTAGATTAGAGGGACCAAAAGGGCAGGGCCACACTGTAACTTTAGCATGTTGCCTGCATGTCCCATTAACTGACACTCAGTAAATGTTTGTGGAATGAATGACCGTACAAACACATAGAAGGTTATAGCAGAAACCAAAGCTTGCTGAAGATCTGAATTCAGATGTATTCTAAGTTGAGCTGATAGGACTAAGGGACTGATTGAATGCGGGGTTTGGAGATGAGTGAAGAAAACAGCCAGGCATGAGTCCCATGAGCCTGAATTGGGCCAAGTGTACAACTGGAGAGGATAGTTTAATGAGATGGGTAAGATGGAAGAAGGCATGTAGAGATATGGTTCCCAGCGGACTATCAGATTCTTTCCCACCATACACATGTGTGAGCATCTGGAAACACCAGGTACAGGAACCTGGGACTGAGCTCCCTAAGGATGAGGGCAGTGACTCGCTCTCCACGACCTGGCTCTCCCGAATCCATAGGCACCAGGAAGGGGCTCCACCCACGGGGTGTATTAGAGGCACCAGAGAGATAGAAAGAACTGGGCGAGGAAAACGGCTCTTTACTATGCACTCATGCATGATCCGAGCCTCCGTTTCCTCGTAAGATCGTTGCGAGCGAGCATCAACGCGCCACGCTCCAGGCAGGTCTAAGACCGGTGTGAAACCGCTCCCGAAGAATTCCGTGGGGAAACTTCCCATTTCTTTTTTAACGGCCTGGGCCTGCCTTTCCTCAGAGAGGGGACTGACTTCTCCAGTTCCTCTCGCTCCAGATTAGCTCGCGTCCCCCAGCCCGAAGTCACGGCCTACCTGCGACCCGGTAACGGCGGCGTGCCCAGGCTGCTATACGCAAACAGCTCCTCGCTCAAGTCGACGGCAGCCGGCGCGCGGCCCACCAGCATCAGCCGCTGCCACGGCTACATAACCTGTTTACCCAATGACGTCGCTGCCTGACACCGGAAGCACTTACACTCGCCCATTCCACAGAGCCTGCTGGGAAACAGAGGCGAAAGAGGAGGGATGACTGCCACAAGACCCAGAGGCCTTTGCGCCCACAAGTCTGCCGGAAATAGCTGTGCTCTCACTACCGAGGCAGGGAACAGGTGCCGGCGAGGCGGTACTCAGAGGGATTCAGCTTCCACCCGCTGATCCAGTGCAGTGCATGCTGGGCCTTGTAGTCTCAGTTTCCCGGACAGTCAGGGCTGGGCGGCTGCTCCGGGAGGAATCGGCGGGCGCAGGATGTGAGCTCATAGCTGGGATTGCTGGAGGCCACAGGCCAAGGGAGGCACGGAGTCTGTTCGCCACTCAGCTGAGAGGAGAGGCGCTCCTGAGGACGGTGAGAGCCGGGCCTGCAGATGCATAGGGGAAAGAAGGGACGGACCGGCCCTCGCGGGGTTCTGGGGAAAGGCGTGGGAGGGCATCACGGAGATGGGGGGTTTCCAGTCCTCCTCTATGGGTTAGTGTCAGAACGGCCTGCGGGCTGCTGAACAGCCTATACTGTCCTCAAGAGGTGGGGTATTGCTAAATTCTCCAGGACACTTTGCATGAAGCCTAAGCTTCACACCTAGGACCTCTGCCCTCTCTAACCAAGATCACCTTCCCCAGGCCTTGCCCCGTATAGAACGGATTTCTGTGTCCTTCTGCTTTTAGGACCCCACTTCCTACCACCGCCGGGGTTGTTTGCCTTTTGTTCTGCTTGGGTTCCCATTAGCGAGACACAGGTCCGCCCCTAATCTCAGTTATCCCCAAATATTCACACACGAAGTCTGGAAGAAAGAGCACTGAGGCTATCAGTGGAAGCTTCATTCTCACTGGAATTTCTTTCTGGGGCGTCACCTGCCACAGGATTCCTGGAACTCATTGGTCTGGGTGGAATCTGGCCTGACGTCATCCAGGACCTCAAGGCAATTGCTTTGTAGGAAAGGAAGAGATTAGCTCTGGATTTGTCTTCCTGTTTTGGCAGTCCTAGCCATTGAGTTCCATGGATTTGGCAGAAGAACACGTATGTGTGCTTTCTTTGATCCTGGGGAAACTGGGGCTGGACACAAAGTACATGGGGAACTTGCTAAAAACCTGTTAAGGGGTAGATTTATTCCTTTGAGGTGGGCGGAGGAAGGTAAGGTGATCTCACACCATTCTAGTGTAACTTACTCACTAGTCAATCTTCCGGGCTCTTCACATACCCCATCATTGGACAAGCCACCAAAGGGATTCTCTTCTCATGGCACCCACTCTGCCTCTTCCTCAATCATTCTTCCCAGGGACCTACCTAAATCTTTTCAGGGACAGTTTCAGCCAATGAGCTGAATTGAGCTAATGAGTTATATACTTCAAATGTGCATGCCACTTTTTGGGGAGTAGAGCACTAAATGTACCATGTTTCTGGTTGCATTTATAAGAGATGATGAGGAACTGAAAACTCCTGCATGTTGTGAGGATTAAATGAGATGTTTCCACTTTTTTCCTGTTTCCTTTACTACCTCTGTGGTCTGAGCCTTCGTCTCTTGCCTGGACCACTGCTGATCTTCCCACCTTCTCTCGTGACAATGCATTTCCTACACAGCAGCCAGAGTTATCTTTGAAAAATGTAAATAAATCAAATTATATCACTCCCCTGTGTAAAGCCTTCCAATGAATTCCTATACTATATTGAAGTTAATATGAAACCCAAGCTCTTTACTGTCATCTAGTATCTTCTTTCCCTGGCTTTACATCAAACCAACTTGCTCCTGCTTTCATTGCACCAGCCACCGTATCCTTATTTCTGTTCCTAAAACTTGTTTCTAACTTTGCCTTTCTTCCATCTGTCTGTAATGCTCTTTTTAGACCTGAACTGAAATATCACCTTCCCAAAGAGGCTTTCCCTGTCACGTTATCTTGTCTCTCCCTGCTCACTCTCTTGTCCCTGTTTTATTCTCTTTATTGCACTTACCACATTCTGCAGTTGCTTTCCTTGTTTATAGTCTGTCTGCCCTTCTGCTAGAATATAAGCTGCATGAGGATGTGACTTTTCTGTATGTGTTCTCTTCTCTGTTTTTAGTGCCTGGTACATGCCAGGAACACAGTAAATGCTAACTTTCTCTTTTTTTGGCAGGGCAGGGGGGCATTTACTGGGGTTTAAACTCAGGGCCTACACCCTGAGCTACTCCACCAGCCCTTTCTGTGATGGGTTTTTTTCAAGATAGGGTCTTGCGAATTATTTCCCTGTGCTGTCTTTGAACTGAGATTCTCCTGATCTCTGCCGCCTGAGTAGCTAGAATTACAGGCATGAGCCACTGGCACAGCGCCCAGCTTGGGTTTTCTTTTTTGTTTTGTTTTTTTAATTTTTGTTAACATTGTGATGTTCTTTGAACTGCATGAAGGGCTGGGAATGTAGCTCAGTGGAAGAGCTCTTACCTAGCATGTGCAAGGCCCTGGTTTGATCCCCAACATGAGGGGTAGGGTGGGGGAAGAACTAGAAATAACTCCTTGAAGCAAGGTAGTGGTTCCCTACTTCTTAATATAGTAGGTACTCAATAGTTTCATTGCTAAGTGTATTAAATGAGCTAAAAATATATACCAAACACCGAGAATAGTATCTGATACATAGTAAACATGCAGTGAATGTTAACTATTGTACTTTTTTCTTCAGTGAATGAATTTTAGTGATTCTATTTTTTTAGTTTTTCCTTTTTTATTTAACATTTTTATTTTTTCTTTTTTATTAACATACATTAATAGTATAAGGGGGTTTCATAGTTCACCCCCTGTATTAAATTCCCTTAGCCCTTCTCCCCCTTTTTTTTTTTCCTGAGACTATATAGCCCAGGCTGGCCTCCACCTTGAGATCCTCCTGCCTCAGCCTTCCAAGTGCTGGGGTTATAGGTGTGTGCCACCATGCCCAGCTTAGTGATTCTTTAGATAGCCAAAACATAATACAGCTGTCTCTTGTCTCTTGGTTTCTCTGGAGCACTGGCTCTTGGACCAAAATCCAGGGGTGCTCGGGTCCCTTAGGTGAAATGGTGTAGTATTTAAGCTATGTACATCCTCCTGTGTACTTTTAATCATCTCTGGATTATTTATAATACCTAATGTAAATGTATTAAGTATAATACCTAATGTCATGTAAATAGTTGTTACTCTGTATTATTTAGGGAATGGTGATGAAAAGAAGTCCACACATGTACAGTAAGGACAACTTTTTAAAAATATTTTCAATCCACTATTGGTTGAATCCAGAACCTAGAAGAGTCAGAAAAGTTTCACACGAATAAAGGAAAAAAAGTAGAATCAATCACAAGGGTGACCTGAGTTTGCTTTCCTTGCTCCTCAATTCTGTGAACTCCTATTAGTGGGTTTTTTTTGGGGGGGGGTTGAAGTGGGGTTCTTTTTTTTTTTTATTCATATGTGCATACAATGTTTGGGTCATTTCTCCCCCCTCTCTCCACCCCCCCCCATTAGTGTTTTAATTTCCACATTACTTAATCATTTTTAAATTTATCATCTTGTCTTTTCCGGTTCGTTCTCCCAATTCTTGCTGGGGGGTGGGGAGGAAGAGACAGAACTAGATTCCCTCTCAGGAAAAAGAAGCAAAAATAGTCATCCTGTAGTTGTTCTGCCTTGAAAAAATGGTGACAATTTCAGGAACTTGGGGCAAGGCGGGTGCCAGAAAGGGGAAGTCCAGGAAACTCAGTGGGAGCCCAGGTTACTCCTGCCAAGCACACTGGCCAAGCTGCCTCCAAAGCTGGTCTGCACTGGCCTCTCCTGAAGCCACACTCACTTTCCTTCCTGAAGCCAGACTCCTTCCCAATGTGCTAAAGTGAGTCTTAGAGCAGACCGCTCCTGAGCTAGAATCTTGAGAAAGGAAGTGCATCCTGTCCCTCAGGCTCCTGGGAAACTCCTAGGCTGGCTGGATTCCCAGTAGATTGGCCTGGAAGTTTGGGAACCTTGAGAAGAGAATATCTGGAATCTGACTGCAGGGTCCCAGGACAATCTGTTCCTCTGGCTCCCTCCGACTAGTTCCAAGGGTTTACTTGTCTTCCTTGCTGCCCAGTGCTGAGCTGAGTCTGTGGGGGATGGTAAGGTGACCAGGGCAGGGCTGTGGGAGACTGTGCTCCCAGACCTGCTTCTGGTGCAATGAGGAGCAGCAGCAAAGTCATTCTTACTGTTGCCTAGGGACTTCTTTGCCCCTGTCAGGGATTATCAAGGAGGGTTTGTCAGGATTGCAGTGAGGGTTCCTACAGTTGTCCTCTCCTCATTTGAGGACTTTATTCTGCTGACTTCTGTGTTCTCTCCCATTTCTTGCTCATAGCGCTGAGAGTATGAGGCTCTGGCCTCCACCGGCTACTCACTTCTGACCACTTCCACCACGGCGGAGCCTTCCAAGCCTACCTCCTGCCGTGTGGTGATCTACCTGCAGCGGGAGATGTCAGGGGACACTTGTCTGTGCCCAGCCTCAGGGGCTAAGCCCAAGCTAAGCAGCTTCAAGGGAGGAGGGCTGGGCAACAAGTACGTGCAGCTCAATGTGGGCGGCTCCCTGTACTACACCACCGTTCGGGCACTCACCCGCCATGACACCATGCTTAAGGCCATGTTCAGTGGGCGCATGGAGGTGCTGACTGACAAAGAAGGTGAAGCATCAGGGTTCGTTGGGCAGTGGGGAGGGAAGGGGGAGTCATGAGGAGATGATACCAGGGCAGGATTTATACCCAACAGATCTAGACTCCAGATCCTCTTTCTTCTTCCCCTTTGAAATTTCACATAGAATGTTGTACACTTATACTTTTTTCCAGGGAGAAAGGTCCACACTTTTAAAGTAGGAAACTAGGACAAGATTCTCCTAAGTACCATCTCTGTAGACATAGGCAGTAGACAGAGGGCAAGAAGGGACTGGTGGTTTCTGTGTTGCCATGGTGGCCTGAGTTCCCCTGAGCTTAGTGTTCTGTGGGCCCCTGCAGAGCCTGGTGGACCTGTGTCTCCCATGGTGCACACCAGTTCCTGGACTCAGGGAGGAAGGCAAAGAACAGCTAGACCATCCATTCCCACTTCTGCCATCCTGGGCACTGTGCTCACATAGCTCCTTTCCTTGCTACTTGCCACCTGGTTCATCAGGTGGCCTGTTTCTGAGGCACCTGGAGGCAAACAGTAATCCTGTGGGGGCCATCTGAATCCCTAGGCTGGATCCTCATAGACCGATGTGGAAAACACTTTGGCACCATTTTGAATTACCTCCGAGATGACACCATCACTCTCCCTCAAAACCGGCAAGAAATCAAGGAATTGATGGCTGAAGCAAAATATTACCTCATTCAGGGGCTGGTGAACATGTGCCAGACTGCCCTACAGGTACACAGCAGAGTTGGGATGGTTTGATGATGTTTGGAGTTGCTCCTCCTCTAGGGATGTAAGAGTCAGTTCCTGGCAGGCTGAGTGGGAGATGAGGTTGATGAGTTCAAACCCAGTTCGAACAGTGAGATACTACCTAGGCCTAGCAACCTGGCAGCCAGGTGTTCATGCCCATCAATGTGAGCAGGCTCTGCTTCTAGTTCATTTGGACTCCAGGTCTTCTGGAAGTGAGGGTTTGCTTGCCAGGGGCTGCATGATCACTATCTGATGCCTCCTTACCAAGCGAGGGATGGCCAGGGTAAAGGGGTTTGGGGGATACCTGGCTAAGCCTAGCTAGCACAAGATCCCAAAGAAGACTCTGCTCTGTATGTGTGTCACCAGGACAAGAAGGATTCCTACCAGCCTGTGTGCAACATCCCCATCATCACATCCCTAAGGGAGGAGGACAGGCTCATCGAATCTTCCACCAAGGTACCTGAAACACAGAGGGCTGTGGACAGGGGATGCCAGGCCCCTGGCGTGGCCCTCACTCTCTCCTCCCTCACAGCCCGTGGTGAAGCTGCTGTACAACAGAAGCAACAACAAGTATTCCTATACCAGGTAGGGGGGTGTCTCTCTTGGGGGCCTAGGGAAGGGATGCAAAAGCAGCTAAAAGAGCTGAGCAGCCAGAGTGGACATTGGGCAGCAGACCCAAAGGAAGCTACGTGCATCCTGGAGCAGAAGGCATGGTCTGGGTTTTGAAACCAGTTATGCTAAGGAGGAGGAACAGGGAGTAGAAGGGAAATCAGGGCAGAGGCCCTGGTTGAGATGTGGATGATGCAATGTGAAATATGCCCTTACTGTATATCATGTCACAAATGTGCAAGGTATTTTTGCCCACCTTGTCTTAGTAGGTGGAGGGCAATGCTAGGAAGCCAGTGGCTGGGAGTCCTAGCCTCCTGCAGCCTTTGTGCTTCCTGCGACCTTCACAACAGGCAAGTTGGCTATACACAGGTGGCTGCAGGCTCCGAGTCCCAGACTCTTCCAGTGACTCCCTGTGAACAGGCACATTGCCAGTGTCACCCCCAGCAAAGAAGGAATGCCACCTGCTGAAGTAGCAGTGGGACTTCTTCCTTCCAGGCTCAGAAAGAATAGGCTCCACTACTCAGCCCTCCCTGCTGTAACTGAAAGCCAATGCCATCCCTTTTCCTCACAGACTCCCAAACTCACAGGGTCTCCCCAGCACCTTGACCTATCTTCCTTTCAGCATGATGGGGCTGGAGGGTAGACTGCTTGCCCTAGCCGCTCCCTTGTGTTGGAACCTCACTCCCAGGCCAACTGGGTTTTTCAGCAACTCTGATGACCACCTGCTGAAAAACATCGAGCTGTTTGACAAGCTGTCACTGCGCTTCAATGGCCGTGTGCTCTTCATCAAGGACGTAATCGGTGACGAGATCTGCTGCTGGTCCTTCTACGGCCAGGGTCGGAAGTTGGCAGAGGTGTGCTGCACCTCCATTGTGTATGCCACGGAGAAGAAGCAGACCAAGGTACGGGGCCTTCTTCTGCCCAGGGTGCAGCTGCTCGAAGCAGGTCAGGTGTTGCCCCAACCAAGCCTTTCCCACACAGAGCAAAAGAGCCACACATTTGGCTCTGTTTCCCAAACATGCTGTGTTGGTTCCAGCTAGGACAAAGCCAGAACAAGAGGTTGGGGGAACTGACAGAAACTATTTGTTTCTGACTGCCAAAAGACAGACTCATTAACCAGCAGAGAACTTCCTGGTACAGTGGAAAGGACCAGGTCTTTCAAGTTAGCCCAGTTCAAGTTTGAATTCTCGCTCCATCACTTACCAGTTGTCTGACTTTGGATAAGCCATTTAAGTCACCTGAGTCTGATTTCTCATTTGTAAACATGAGAATGAGAGTGTTAAGTTTAACCAAGATGTGACAATGAGATAACTCCTCTGAAGAAGCAGTGTACTGTCATGACAATAGCTTGGGCTTTCAAATTAAAACATCATTCAGATCTCCCTGAGCCCAGCAAATGGGGCATTCCTGCTCCATCAGGAATGACTCTGGAGTGACATCACAGTGCCAGGCACATAAGACATTTGCTAAGTAACGGTTTACATAAACTCAGCCATCTCCCCACAGAGTAGCTGCCTTCTGAGTATACATTCAGAAGCAGGAGGGCTTTGCTGGGGAAGTTGTGTGGGTGTGACAGGCTCAAATCGGCGAGGACCAAGCAGCACATTCTTGGCCCCAACTGCTGAAGTGCCTCTAGCTGAGGACTGCTGAAGGTGGGAAGGACAGTCCTGGTTCCTCCTCCAATATTTGGCAGTGTTTATAGAGGTAGGAGGGAGAGAGACAGTGAGAGTTAGCCTGGGGGCCATGTCAGTGGAGTCAGGGCTTGGGGTCTGGGTGAGCAGCAGCAGTTGTAGCACTACTTTCATCTTCCTAAGACTTCTCTCTTTCATGAACTCCCTGACCCCTCACCCCAGCTACAAGACAGGTCAAGCTAGAACCATCCTCCCCATTTGACAGATGAGAGAACAAGCTCCATATGACTAGGAAGGTTTACAAGAATTCTGGTCCCATAGCTGCCATCCCTTTTCTGTTTCTTTCATGCTAATCCTGAGGGTAGGAACCCTGGGTCAGACAAACAATAAAAAGTAATAAAGCTACTCATCTGAGCAGCTGCTTTTTTTTTTTTTTTTTTTAATGGCGTTTTACTATGTAGCCCAGGCTGGCTACATAGTAGGATCCTCCTACCTCAGCCTTCTGAATGCTGGTTTATAGGTATGCCCCCATCACACCCAGCTGAGCAATTGGTTTTTATATATGTATTTGGTTGTTTACTGTCAGGCTATTTACTAAGCTAAGCAATTTACATCTTTCTTACGATGCTGACAACTCTCAAGATATAAGTATTAGTCAGGCATGGTGGTACATATACTATACTCAGGAGGCTGAGGCAGAACTATAAGCTCAAGACCAACCAGGGCTACATGAAGAAACCCTATCTTTAAAAAGGGGCTGGAGGTGTGGCTGAAGTGGTAGAGTACCTGCCTCACAAGCATGAAGCCCCGTGTTCAAACCCCAGTACCACCAAAAAAAAACCACCTATCCTTCTGGGCTCACTGGTGGCTCACACCTATAATCCTAGCTACTCAGGATGCAGAGATCAGGAGGATCGAGGTTCAAGGCCATCCTGGGCAAAGTTTGTGAGACCTGTCTCAAAAATGCCCAACACAAAAAAGGATTGGGAGAATGGCTCAAGTGGTAGAGTGCCTGCCTAGTAAGTGTGAAGCCCTGAGTTCAAACCCCTGTACCACCAAAATTAAAAAAAGGAAGATATTAATTTCACTTTATACATATGGAAACTGCAGCCCAGAAAGCTTAGACCAAAGACCTCTCAGCTAGTCAGTGGTGGAACTGTGTTTATACTGAGGCCCACCCTTAGTGCATACTAGTCATCCATGAGATATTAGTCTCCTATCTCTTACAGTATGTCCCCTCACTCCTCATTGAAAGGGAGACCTGCCCTCCCTCATTAGACAACCAGCCACCTGTCGTGAATTAGGAGGCTTTTGGAGCAGCACAGGACCAAGAGTACTGACATGCTGCTCCGAGACAAAACCCGCCTCTTCCCCTTCGTCCCAGGTGGAATTCCCAGAGGCCCGAATCTATGAGGAGACACTCAACGTCCTACTCTATGAGACCCCTCGAGTCCCTGACAATTCTTTGTTGGAGGCCACAAGCCGGAGCCGCAGCCAGGCTTCCCCAAGTGAAGATGAGGAGACCTTTGAATTGCGGGACCGTGTGCGCCGGATCCATGTCAAGCGCTATAGCACTTACGATGACCGGCAGCTCAGCCACCAGTCTGCCCATCGGGACTGACAAGCCCCTCAGGGAGTCAGGGCACAAAAGGCTCTGTCTCCTGTCCTGTAGAGCCCTGCCCCATTGGCCACCCCTTGCTGCTGCTAGCATGCAGAGGTGACAGGCCCTACCTGAGAGGTCAGAGGGCCTGGCAGGGGAGGAGCCACATTCCCTTGCCCTGTCCCCCTCCCCCAGCATTTCCAGATTTCCCTTCCTGCCCAACAGAGGGGTGCTTCTGCTGTGGGGGAGTGGGCCGACCTCCCATGCCTCCTGTGATGAACATTCTCCTAGGCTTCAACTGAGGCCCATATGGAATGGCTTCATTCTGGGAGAAAAGTGGCTTCTGGTGCTGTGAAGGCCCACTCTTGAACAGAAGGTGGGGCTTCTTTTTTTCCTAAGGTGTTTAAGCACATGTTTGGCAGGCTTGGTTTTTAGAAATCTAGATGTTTAATCTAGATGTTGGGTGTGGTGATACACACCTGTAACTCCAGCTACTTGGGAGGCTAAGGTAGAAGGATCACAACTTTGAGGCTAGCATGGGCAACATAGTGAGACCCTGTCTCAAAAAATTTTAAAAAGGTCTGGGGATGTAGCTCAGTGGTACAGTGCTTACTAGCATGCGCAAGACCCTGAGTTCAGTCCCAGATACTACCAAAAAGGAAAAGGAAAAAAAACCCCTAGGAAATGAAATGAATTAATTTTTTAGTCCAATGAGGGGACTAAGTATTTCTGTTACCCTGCAGGGTGACAGGACCCTACCTAAGGCAGACATCAAGGCCTTTCTTGATGCTTTTGGGTTCTATCTTTAAAGCATTTTGACTGTTACTCAGCAGACTTGTGTTCTGCCCCAATATGTGTCTTTTCTGACCCTCGCCCCTTTTCCTGCAGAATCAAGCTAAGGGGGGAGGATAAGAGGAAACAATTAATAGCCAGGCATGATAGTGCATGCCTCTAATTCCAGCACTTGGGAGTCTGAGGCAGAAGATATGAGTTTGAGATCATCCTAGGCTACCTAGTGAAATCCTGTCTTGAAAAAAAGAGAGGAAGCAATAATTAAAAAAAATAAATAACTGATCAGCTTTGGCTTTGGCCAGCCAACCCAAAGAGCACCAAGAAAGGAAGGATGCCTACACTGGAACTGTAGTCTTAGTAACAGCCCATGAGAAAAGACATCTCACCCCACCTGTTAGGGCCACGTCACTGATTCCTTGGTTCTAACAGGATTGTCCTTTTTAATTCTCATCCTTGGATACCCTCAACTCCAAGACAGGCTGTCCTCACATACTCTAAGGCCAGAAGCCATCATGGGGGCCAGGAGCTCCTTTATGCCAAAACAAGCCACAGCAGGAAGGCTGCAGAGCCCATGACCACTGCACAGTGCCAACCTGCACTCCCAGCAGTCTATACAGAGGCAGTCCAGGCTTGGCCACCCCTGGCATCCATGCTTTGTGTCCTGGTTGGGGCTGCCAGTGACTAGCTTCTCAGCACAGTGATGAGAACAAACTAAGCCCCTTGAAAGGCCTCCATTCCTTCTTTTGTTATTTGGCCATGGAGATGCCAAGCACCAGCAGGGTGAGTTCTTCCACAGAGCTTTGCTATTCATCCCCTTCATTTGGTCTGGCCCTCAGAAACAGCTTATCTGAATCCTTGATTCTAGAAGAGTGCTGTCAGGAAGGAAGCAGCATGACCACATCCCTCTTGACTACTTTTATGACCACCAAGTGGCTGCATACAGCTGACCCCACAGAACCTATGGATAATGGCAGGCCCAGGGTTGAGCACTCACAAGGATATGACATGACATGGGGCAGGGACAATATAGCTTATTAATCAGGCATTTTATGTTAGTCTTGAATATATAAATAGCTCTCTTAAGACTCTCAGGTCAGGCACCTTGATCACTGGCTACTCATTCTTCCAGCCCTCACTGGAGTTAGGATGACAATCCATTTCCTTGGCCAAACTCAGGCTTTGGCTTTGTGGCTTTCCCATAGAGACTGGAATGCTTTAGCCTGAGGCCACCAGCTTATTTTCTCAGCTGCCCTCATAAAGCCCTGTAATACTCAAATTCCTTACTCCCCACTGAGGTATTTTCATACTTTTCCCTTGACCTCCACATCCCCGTTAGCCTCTACTTGGTGCTTTGACGCTCAGATTCTCAGCTGTCTCCATGTCTAGTCTTAGGTCCTGAGAAAGTACAGAAGTGCAGGGCTAGGCATTTGTTCTTTGTCAGAAAATATCTCCTTGGTTATAAAGAAAACACTAACACTGAATTCACTGAAGTGATGCTAGCTTCTTTAATCAGACTGTAGTTTAAGGGTTTGGGGAATTTCCCAGTCCCATTCAGAAAACAGGTCTTGTCAGTATGAATTTTCCAAGTACAAGAGCCCACAGGGGAATAAACAAAAATTATGGATGAAGGTCAAACCTTGTTGGTTTCTGAGAAAACTGAAAGCTTGCTGTTAACAATACAGACTAGTACTAGGCTTTGTTGAATTTGGTATGTGATTGGTCTGCTGAAGAATGGCACAGGTCCTGGCATGAGAATTTTTTCCTTATTCACTTAACTGCAATCCTTTGTTGCTCAGCCTAAGTGGTGGAAGTAAACACTAACTTCTAATAAAATTGTGTTATGATACACTGGTAATGAGTCATGTTTTCAGTGAGTAGAGCTTGGCCCACCTCACAACCCTTGAGCTTAGTTCTTGTATTTCTATTCCCCACAACCTAAGACTGACTACCCTATTGCCTTACAACCAAAGCTCCCCCTGGTGGAGGATAAGCACAACACTAACAAGAATCTGGAGCTGAGATTTAGTATTAATTCAAACTGAACTCTAACAACTACTGCAGTGATGGGGAGAAGGAATTGTAAGAATTGGGGCAGAATGCAGCCTGATTTGTATCTGGATCTTAAAAGATCGCAGCAGATCAGGAAGTAGCTTGGCTTGGTCAACATCCATACCTTAAGAACCGATTCCTAGCCAAATTCCTATACTTGTGGTCTGAATGTTTCACAGACTTATTCTCGCAGCTGGCAAGCCTGCTGTTCCAGAAAATGTGACTGGCTTGCCTCATTCCTCCCAAGCTCGATGAAGACAGAGATGCTGGTGGTTGGTCAGTGTTAAAGAACCAGGCCACTCCAACCTGATACTGGCCTCGTCTGCACTTGTCAGAGAACAAACATGTCCAGCCCAGCACCCACTCATTGGCTGGGAAGCACAGTTCCCATGAGAGATGTCTAGCCAGCTTCCAGCCTCAGAGGGAGATAGAGGCTCCCTGGAAGTGATCTTGCATGGCAAGCAATCAAGGGCCCCAATGGGTCAGAAAGGGAGCCTGAGACTCTGGGAACAGAAAGTGCAAGGGTGGCCAAGCGTGCATTAGTTTATTGACCAAACCTCACATTCCAGACAACTTGTGTGACAGTCCAGGAAACTCCTTCAGGCCTGTGGTAGCTGAACACAGTCCTTGGTGGAAAGTTTTACTGGAACATGGTATAGGCAGGACTTATGAGGAGGCAAGCCTTGGAGGAGTCTGACATGGGTCTTCCAAAGAGAACAGTTATACCCTGCCCCCTCCCAAAAAAAAGAGCCCCATAATCAAGTGGTACAAAGGATTAAGAGACCCATTGTGGCCCATGATGAGGAGAGATTAGAGTTCTGCAGCAGTTGTGGGTTCAGAACTGTTCTGAGGGGCCAAGCCTGGACACTCAGGGCCTCAGTTGGCCTACCAGTGAAGGCCTGAGGGTGGTGTCTTCTCATCTTTATTGCTTTCCAGGGAAAAGGGTGGGATCCGGACATCAAAGTGGGAGCCATCAGGTCTTTCGAAGCGGAACGTGCCCCTAAGGGTCAGAGAAAAAAATGGCTTAAAGAGAGTCAGGGCTAATGCCCTCCTGAGGATCTGGATAGCCCTATGCCATCCAGGGCCAGAAAAGGATAAGGCAGGCCTGGGCCATCTTCTGTCAAGTCCAAAGACACAAGAGCCCCTCTTGGCCCTACATGAAAAAGAGAAACACAGCTGTGCAGATTCCAGCCTTTGATGCATACTGCATAAAATACCCAACTGTACTTTTGAGATTAAAGTATGAAATACCAGGGGAGAAACCCAACTACATAAGCAACACGGTTCAGACCCAAATCCCTTGACTTAAGTCTTAGTCCAGAGATCATAGGGAACTGGGAAACAGGCAGTCATAAAAACCAGACAAGTCCCAAATGACAATGAGTAACGCACAAGGTTCTGTCATCTCAGGTCCTGACTTGGTCCAGAGTTAACTGTAAACTGAGCTTGCTATTAGCTCTCTCTTTTTTTTAAGACAGGATGTCACTATGTAGCCCAAGCTGACCTTGAACTTGGCATCCTGCTACCTCATCCTTCCCAGTGCTGAGATAAAAAGCATGCTCCACCACACCTGGCTTGACCTCTCATTTTTCTGATCTGCAGCTGTCTATGGAGCTGAGTAGCCCCTCCCCCCAGCATTCTCACTTACCACATGTGCCCACTAGAAGCTTGTAGGGAGACATGGCTGCTATACTGGAACGCAGGTTGCTCCTTGGATAATACTGGCTCCTGTAAGGATTGAGGCAAAATGGGTCAGGCCACAACCCAGAATCACATTCCCTGCACCTGGGGTGACATACTGACTGCCAGTTGATCAGGATTGGATGCCCTAACCCAAACAACCACATCTACAATGACTGCCTGCCAATTCTTCCTCCAACAGCATGACCATTGGCCTAGGCTTTTTATTCTGACTCTGGGAAAATCTCTGACTGACTGAGGGCACTGAGCAAAGATGCTAGGCACAAGACACAAGACCTACTCTAAAAACATCTCGATTCTTTTTTTTTTTTTTTTCTGTGCTGGAGTTTGAACTCAGGACCTCACTCTTCCTAGGCAGGTGCTCTACCACTTGAGCCACTCCACCAGCTGAAAACATCTCAACATCCATTCACAAGAGCTAAGTACCAAGCACCACAGCAGGTACTCTGTATCCCTTCACTGACTGAATTCTGGTGATCAAAAACTGTGTGTCATCCCCATTTTAGCAGTAAGAAACTGAGATTTTGATTAAATCACTTCCCCAAAGAATATGCAGTAAATATACAGCTAGAGTGTGAAGCCAGACTATCTTCAACTAAGAAAAGGGTTGTAGAAAACCTATCTCACAGGACTGTTATAAAATTTCTGACCCAAGATAACCCAATGTGTTCACACAATAAAAGAACCATGCATTAAGGCCCCAGACTTGCTTGCAGGACCAGGAACTGGAATTTATTGGGCCAGTGATTCTCACCCTGCCCACCACTCCCCGGCCTCGCACTGTCTCCAAGGTGCCCGAGAGACTGAATATCCTCCAGTGCCTTCTCGGAGCTGTACCACGTCACTGTCCAGGTTCTCTAAGCGGATACAATAGCGCCACTGCAGGGGCAAAGAGAAAACAGTTCGTGAACAGATCTTGGGCAAGTTGGTCTAGAATTCTGTGTAGAGCAAAAGGCAACAGAGGCTGGCACCTACCTGCATTGCATAACTCCACCCCTA